GGAAATTTTTCTATTTTGGCTCGGAACTCGGCAGATTGAACTTGTTGCAAACTTTTGAACGCCATCTTGTAGAGCTTGCTTTGATCTTTCGAAAGGTATCCTGCATTTTATCGGGTGTTCAAGAAGAACTGATTTATGTCGCTGAAAACTCAGGTATGAAAAGACTTATGGGACAACCTAATAAAAATGAGAAACATTGCAACTTGGTGTAAGCACCTAACGAGCTGTTCGGATTCATAGCGCTAGGTGTGCGATCTTTTGAAGCAATAAGATGGCCGCATATGTACTTAAATTCCACAAATGCTACGATACGTTGCCTGTTCATCGGAGACTTTCGTCTTGTGTGGTATACGCTAGTCGTAGACGAAGGCATGTGGTTTCCCCCGCGAAGCGAGCACGAATGCCCCTATAACCCCGGGCATACTGCAGGCATTTCAGTGGCGACGTGGTATGGCAATACTCAAATTGTCTCTGAAGACATCTCGTAACTGGCAAATCGCGTACGGCGATCCAAACCGTCTAATCCTGCGCTACAACTGCGATGTCCTTTACTCAATATACACCAATTCGCAAAAAACTCCAAGGTAACGAATAGGCAGTTTTGAAATGATTTATGCGAGCAAGAATGCTCACTAGTGTGGGCTTTGCGTACCGCAAGCATGAGCAATGCAAAAAAAAGAAGAACAGCCATTTCAATTCAGTATGAACTCAGAACATGAGCTTGAATTTGATATCTTCTTTGCTGATTTGGTGCCAATAGCATGCGAACAATCTCAATGATCGAAAAAACATCAATTAAACTTATGATTTTTTTACTGTCGCAAGCAGTCGGAAGAATGCGATTCTCCATACAGTTCAAAGGTATACCGGTTGCAAAAGATGCATTACCGAGTTTTGCGAAAAAAAAACGCGGACGAAGTGAGTTTAATACTCAGCATTTGTCTCTGCAACAAAGTCGAATAATCTGAATACGGAGTACATTCGAATACGAATTCGAATAAACATTCGAATAAAACATTCGAATAAAAACTATTCGAAACCCCGTTTTTTGATTATTCGAGTTTTCGAATAATATTCGAAACCTCGTTTTTTGATTATTCGAGTTTTCGAATAATATTCGAAACCCTGTTTTTTGATTATTCGAGTTTCGAATTTTATTCGAAACCCCGTTTTTTCAATTATTCGAGTTTCGAATATTATTCGAAAATGGAAGAACTCCGAATATCGAATTTCGAATACGAATATATTCGAATGTTTTATTCGAATGATCGAATTTCTATTCGATTCGGACCCAAGTATAGTGTGAAGTATGCAAGGCCCTTTAGATGGACAAATATGAACAAAAGAAACAAGTCAAATCCTCACAGATTTTTGGTGATTTTCATAACAAGTTTAGGTCGCTAATGGAATTGCCTGGCTTAATTGATATGACAATATAATTTCATTTATATTCTCAGTTGCCTGCACAAGATAATTGCATACCATACAGATACAATCAAGAAATAATAAAGTGGACGATGACTTCTTCATACTGCATGAGTTAGGATGAAGTAGTTCAACTAAACTTACATGATTACTACGAGCTCTGAGCTACAGCAACTTTGAAATGACTTACAAGCTAGCACTGAAAGATTTCACCTTGAGTATACATGACTATACAGGCCATGTAAATATTTGCCCGCACCACCTCGCTTTGAACACCAACGCGCGGAGCGGCTGGAGGTGGCGCTCCAACGCGATATAGGCTATTCACAGGCGATAATGAGCGCGCGCCTCCTTTAGACGTATGTTTATAAACTTTTGAAGGCACTTTTGGCTGAAAGACAATGTGCAATGCTGAAAGCAACATAGATGTTGAACGGAAAATTTATGAGCGAATAAGGCCGCTTTTAGGGCTTTGCGACAACAGCTCGCCTATGCTGGTGTTAAAGGCATGTTTTCTAGTAATGAATTTTATTTGTTACGCAGAAGGTGTGCCATATCTAGGACAATCAAGGAAAGCATTTGGAAACATAAACAGTAACAAAGTAAACAAAGGATCACCCACTATGCAAGAATTTTCGTAAATAGAAAGAGATTAAGCTTGTCCAGACTACACCTAAATGGTGGTGGTGGTGGTGAATGTATGGTGTAGGCTCAATGGAGTCTGTCTCATGCCTCCTGCTTGCAGCAAAAATGCTCCTTTATTATTCAACATAAGCAAAATATATAGAGATACGGGGTATCGGGCTGATAATTGAATATTATGTGTTGTGTTTTTAATTCTCTGACGTTTATGACTGACTAGTAGTAAGAGCCTTCTTGTGCAATAATAAAATAAAATGAGATAAAAAAAACTTCTTATCTGCCGTGACTAACTGAACCTACATACTATTATTTCTTTAGAAAGTAAAAAAAACAAGTGGAAGAGATACTTGTGGTTTTTCTTCTGCACACTATCGAAAGCAACGAAACATGTGCAGCAGAAAAACATGCGTTCATTCCAATAACTACATCGCAATCTCATGATGCATTAGAATCAATCGATGTGGGCCTAAAAAGGGAAATTTGCTCAAAAAGTGGAAGTATCGGAGTTGTTATGTTAGACTATCTCATCTCTCAAGACTCTGTCTGACTTTTCGTAATGTGCACTAGAACACATATATCAAGGCTTTTTTGGGTTATATCTGAGCCAAGTTGTCCTCTAGTCCCCAATTTGAATTATTTTGTTAAAAATGGCGAAAATGATGCAATATTGATCAGATCCACGGTTAATAATTAATTCTTTTATGCGAGGGCTCCATCCACTCGAATAGTGAAAAGAGTCGGAGACCATCAACACAAATAGTAAGAAAAATCGGAAATCGAGTGGTTTTTGTTCCTGCTCTCTAGTTCACTCGGCCCTGTTTGGTCACTTTGCATTTCTTGCGCTTTGATTCTCACTGTCCTTCCAACGCTCACTAAAAGGTTTGCAGCCGCAAAAGCTTTTAGCTTAAATCCTCGTTGAGTGCGGTCGAAGGCTCAGCATCACTTTGCGCAAGATTCTGACTCTAAGGTTTGTTCTTTAAATTACTACAACATAGCAAGTAAATTCTTCTCTTTTTGTATACATCAATTTTGATCGAGCTATAATAGCAAGTTGCATTTATAACCGGCATTTTATCAATAAACACTTGAAACAAACTTTTAAATTTTCATGTAGCGGAATTTTCCCTTTACCGCTATGTCTCTTCATTTTGACGTAAATGAGTGAAAAGTCCTTCACTTCTTTAGCCACACAAAGTTCCAAGTCAGGATACATTGTGTTTAACCCACAATGGTCAAAAAAAATCTGGCTAAATTGGCTATTCTGAAAATGTAGATTATACTTCATTCAATATTTTAGAACATCCAAGCACAGTCATTTTTCCTGATTTTGCAGAGTAGAAATAATCCTCGCAGCAACGCTAATGACCTTTTCTGAAAAATTATTTTTCAGAACAAATAAAACGTAATTTTGATTCTCTTAGCTGAACTTTTATCATCTATGCTAATACGAAATTTTTGTGTTGTTTGCTTGAAGACGTGCAGTGTTTATTCAAAAGTTTAGTTTAGAATTCTCGCTGGCTTTCTCACATTAACATTCTAAAACTTGTAAATGGAGTTGCCGAAATTTTTAGAGCAAGTCATGAAAACACTGCTTGGTGTAACATTCTCAGAATATTAGCTCAGAGATGAGATTCATTCTTCTGATAAAGACAAGCGTCGTTGTTATAGTGCTGTTTCATTTCTTTGATCACAAAAAGCAATAGTTTGGCTCGTATTAAGCCGAAGTGTAAGCCTTGCAACACTTTCGCTTTTTCCTAATCATTCTAGAAAGTTCGCCAAACTTCATATTTGAGAAGTACGATGAAGGGACTGGAACTTAGCTTTTGGCATCATTTTCACCTTCACAAACATGGTTCACAGCAGTATTCAGACAATTCTGTATGGCTCTTCAATCAACTTATTCTCTATTTCTTCTTTCTTATACTTTTGCATTCCTTTCAAAGCCCGTGGGGTTCAGGCTCTAGCAAAGCATGTGTATTTATTTGATGGATTTAAAAAATTGACTTTTTATGTGTAGCATGTTGATATTGAAAACTAGCTACTCTACAGGGAACGTGAAAATGGGAAAAAATTTACGAGCAACTCATGGCAATTTGTTTTCAAGCTTAACAAATTAAAGTTCAGAGCTAATGTTAGGTCATATATAAGTCCTGCAAAAATTTAGACAATTCACAATCTTTTTTAAGTTGGGTGAAATCCTTGATGATTAATAGAAAAATCTATGAAAAATCTTGCACTTCCTAAACGTATTTGATGCTTTTCTCATCTGCAAAAATTTCGCGCTGATCGGACGTTTCTACGATCGATGGTTTTTTTTTGAAGATTTTCAACTTCCTGCTCTCAATTCAAAAAAAAACATTCATTTTATATGATAAATTACAACTTACGTTGCGAAAAGTAGATGATGCACTTCGAAAAAAATAGTGATATTTTAAGGCGATTTTCTTTGATTTTTGGCAAGAGTTATGCGTCAACCTAATATGTACGCCTTCTTCGTTCCTTGAATCTGATTTTTGCTTTCTGGTCCAAAGTTTCGTGTTCTGATTGATCGAAAGGACCTCGACGTACCTAGCCCCTGTTGTTTTCCCCCGTGCAAATTCTGCTTAGAGCCTCCGGGGCAGCCGAGAGCCGTGCTGCCATCGTCGTTGTGTTCGCTGTAAAGAGCGAGAGAGAGAGTGGGCGTTTGGTCGTCATTTTGTGCCGACGATCAATCCACTGAGGATTCGGCTACTGTTCTGACTCAATCCTCTATACTAAACATTATATTCATCACAGTTATCGATTGATTTGTCTTATCGAATGAATCAGCATCTTTTTCGGGAAAATTCCACGCGCGAAAAATGACGAGAAGCTCGCCGTATCTCAAAGAATCCACGCAGAACTTTTTCTTCTCTGATGAACTAAGAGATATATGTTGGAAAAGCGGGTGTTCGATGAAAAATAGACATTTGTCTCCCATTTGCGCTCAATGTGTTAGTGTATAAATCTTCTAACCTACGACGTCTCATCTCCAGTTTTTCTTTCACGTCTTCCAAAAAATTTCTTAGCCAGGTTTGTTACTATCTCGTAAGTCTCAAGCGGTTTCGAACTCATCAATTGTTGAAAAATTTTCCGAGATTCAACATATTTTTATTTTCTACTCGTTCTTTCCCTTTCGGCTGCTTTGTAGTTGGATAAAAATCCAGCTTTTTGGCTTCTATTTTTTTGATGATTCCCGATGGTTCATTACAAACAAAAGTGTTTTTACAAGACTTCTCCTAAACAATAATCGCTACTTACTTCAATGAAGCATTGATTGTCAATGGAAGAGAGTTGAGAACCTTTAACTCTTTGAATCTATTGACGAATCAATAATTACTCTGAAAGTATGAAGCACTTAGAAAAAGGAAAATTACTCTCAAAAGTGGGCCGAGTCTAAGGTGTTTAATGTGTTAAAGTGCAATTTATAGCCTAGTAATTCATTAGGTTGAACCGAAAGTTCTGTCGCACCATTTTCAAAAAATCATAACTTCTTTCCCCCCACGGTGATTTCGCGCAATTCAAATTTGTTCTGTAAGCGTAAAGCCTACAGTTTCCAAAAGTTTCTTGGCAGCTCTCCAATACGCTCAGATTGCAGAGATAAAAATGAAAGAACGAGATCATCCTAAATTCGGAACTTTTAAGCAAAAATTCTAGAAATTCAGAAACTGTGCGATAAAATCCAGAACAGCCATTAATCTAAGTTTTCTTATATTTTATTACTAGCTGAGTCAAGTTTGTGCTGATCGAGCTCTTCTTTCAAAAATTATGATTTTTTGAAAAAAATGCCGATAAATCGATTTCTTAAGAATCCTTAGGAAATTGATTTTTCGGCATTTTTTTCAAAAAATCATAACTTTTGAAAGAAGATTCGATCAGCACAAACTACATACTCTGCGCTTTCTGAAAAAATTTGAATTGATCAAAATCACCGTGAGGGAAAGAAGTTATGATTTTTTGAAAATGGTGCGACAGAACTTTCGGTTCAACCTAATATTTCACATTATTTCTTACATTTGACGTTCAGTACATTTTTTTTGTATATCTAAAGAGTCGAATCAAATATAGGAGGAAATGTTTCACTCTTTCGTAAGCGTCACTATTAGGATTTCCATTTCCAGTAAAAGCTCTAGTATTCTTTGGCCAAAATATTGCCAAGAAATTTTCATATTTTTTGGCAATATTTTTTAAATACTTGATTTATTATAGCCTCTCTCAAGTTCTCTCATCTCCAGTTTCCATCTCACATCTGGCTTGAACATTGCCGCTTAGCTTGTTTTTCTTCAAAGACGCTTAAGCCTTACAACTCAAAAGAAATTCGAACAGCCTTGAACCGTACAGCTCAACAAAAATCTTTGCTAAAATTGTCATGAAATTAGCCAATTATAACATTTCTAACAGATTACCATGCATTTATTTATTGATCGAATGATTGATCGATCGGTTAGTGGATAAGCCTCGCATTATAAAAATCGAAACCTTGTTTTTAAAGGTTTTCAGAAAAAAAACGATCAATTTATACAATATGGCTTTTGCTATGTGCACTGTTATAATGCAGTTACAGTTGTCTGAAATTGAATTCAAAAAGTTCGGTTAAAAATCTAAACAATTGTAAATACATATCTGCAAAAACACAAAATCATCACAAGCTCCGCATTTGTTGAAAATGGCACGCCTAAAGGGAGTGAAGCTAAAATTTTTGGCAATTTTACAGAATACCACAAAACGCCTTTCCAAGTGTTTCCCTCGATTGGTTTGTATCGTTGCATATGGCAATGTGATTTCAAACATTACTAGACAGCGCAATTTTTTTATGCATTAATTTGACTGACTTTACAGAAAAAATTAAGAATTTTTATGAATATTGATGCAAAGCTTACAAAGGAGGTCCGATTAATCAAAGTCGCTTTTCTAAATAGTCTTATACCACTTTGAAGAGCATCAAACGATGATTTCAAATCTGGTTTCACTATCTGCCGAGCGCCTCTGCATGCCGAATTGGTCATGAATATTTTCTTGGTGCGAAAAAATGAACGAATATCTAGGTAAAATCAAATTTTGCGGTCTTTTTTTCATATACAGCAATGTTGAGTATGAGTGTTTTGATAAGGCATTGTTCGAATGAAATGCTCTGATAATCAACATTCGGCCATTAGAGCAATTCTCACGAATTTTGTGCTGATTATGCACTCAATTTTTCAACTCAAAAAGCGCTCATGTCTCGAACGTCTAGAGACGCTCGACAGATAACGAAGACAGATCTGGAACCGGTGCTCTTCATAGTCGTATCAAAATTATGTGAAAAGACCATTCCGATAGGCCCGGGGCATACCTCATGCGATTTCAGTCGCGACGCGACTTGGCAATGCTCATAACGCGTCGCAAACTCATTTTGAGCACACGAAAAAGAGCACATTCTATCGACTCACAAAAGTTGAACACACCAAACATTTGTGGTCTGGAAATGTTGGGTTTGAAGAGATCTGGCAAATGGCCAAGTCGCGTGGCGACTGAAATCGCGAGAGGTATACCCAGGGCCTTAGGGGCAACGACCAAAGATCAAGATTTCTGCTTCAAAAACCCATTTTTTACAACCATCAACGTCTCCAACCAAAGCTAGTGATGTATGATGTTTATACGGATTAATTGAAACGGGAAATCGGCGTTCAAAAACATAAAAATTACCCCGTGCCTTTGAGCTGACAAAAATTACTATTCCCTCTTACTAACGCAATCCATTTCCAGAATTTTTGGATGTCTTCCAGGTTCCGTTCGAGAGCAGAAGGATCATACTGCAGCTATAGTGAGGAAATTTGAAAAAAAAATTATGAAATGATTACTTGGGAGACAGGGAAAGCTTGATAAAAAGGTCTGAAAAAAAGTAAATTTGGCAGTATGTTCGCAAAACTGTCGTAAGGTTTTTAGCTGCAAGTGCATTTGCGGCATTGATCATGCAGTGGGTAGATTAAGTGCGCTTATTGTAAGCAAGAATTGGGATTAGCGAAATCCTGAAATTTTCTCGAAAAAAGGAGTATAGCAGAAATTACTTGCAACCGACATTACTGCTTACTTTTTTACTGCTTCTGACATACATAGGATGTTTCAAAAACGTGTGATTTATTTCTTTTACCTCATGAAAAATTTCCGTTGAGAAGAAGAATTTTTTATAGCAAATGTACGCATTGCTCATAAATTTCAGCGTTTATAGATAATTCTAAGTTTTTAGCTATATGTAATTTTCATTGTCCAAGGCACTACTAAAAGAAATGATAATAAAGTTCCTGATCTACTTTTTTCTTCTCCTCCTTTGTTCGACTTTATGCCTTCCTCAAAAGTGAAGCATCTAAATTTTTGGGTTTTTTTTTCAGAAATGGTGCGCATCGTCGCCGATGGTGAGTATGAGCCATGGTATAGTCGACGAGCTTGTCCAGTGTTTTGTTACCCATGCGTGCCCGCCTATATGGGAATTTGGAAAGCCAGGTTGGTTCGTAGCTTCAAAAAAATTTTGCGGTTGTAGACAACATGGGAAGCCTATAAGCTCCTTTATTATCTATGGGTCTGTCATAGCATTCTTTCCCAGTGACTGCAGAGGAAATTATATATTATGATTCTACTTCACATACATTTGAGTTGTTTGACCAATTTTCTCCAAAGCAATTTCGCATTTTAGAGCTGCTCATTTTTGCATAAAAAACATTCGGAGAAACAGATGCGACTTTCGCACAACCACGAAAACATTAATTTAAAGGAAGAGCACCACTCTTATAACGCAGTTAAATGGAATCAATGCCGTTTTGCTCTCACATTTCAAATTTTTATTAGAGGCGAAGATTAGATCATGAAAATTGACCAAAACGTGTTTTGCACTGGAATAAGCACAGAATAAGTGGGAGAGATAACTCTTGTTGGCGCTTGAAATTTTATGCGCAAATTCTTAAGTTTTTGGAATTTATTTACATGAATGTAGAGTCTGTCCGTAAAGTTTGAGTTATTTGTTATCGATTGTGTAATCGTTTTTTTTCTACCCATTTTCGCACGCCGAGAATCTTGCTTGACATTCTGTGATTCACTTTTTGTTTTACATTTTGTTGAGAGTAGCATCCACCTTCTCCATTTATGCACAGCTATATTTCCATGGCTTCTTAAATAGATGATAGGGTGAAAAATTGTACATTCTTCCTATTTTTTGCAGAGTTTACATCATCATCAATTACAAAATTTCAATACTTCGTTGTCTGTGATTACTTACCCTCTTTATAATTTATTTTGGTAAGACAACCTTCGATTGGGAGGATTTCCGGTGAGCTATGGTTTCGTAAATTGGAAATGTGCAAGATAACGTGACCATCAATAAACTAAAAATGGTTTGTATTTATGAGATTTGTAACAATTGTGCTTGCTAAAAATAAATTTGTAGAGTAAGAATAGATTATTCTATCCACCCACTTCAACCTACTTTCAGCTCTGTAATGTCCAAGAGGACATTACTATGCCGATGTTACGCTGACAAATTGTGTGTTTACAAATTTTATACGCTGACAAATTGTGTGTCACCACACGAATTGTTTCACTACGACAATTGCAGTCACCTGTCGTTTAGACTCAGCACCTACGCAATAAGTTGCTTATAACCCCAGTATTAAGTTGGATCACCAGTCTTGCACCAAACATTTAAAAAAATCCATTCGAAAATGCTTAAGTAATCATTTTAAGAGTATAAAGTATGTATCTTATTGTTTTGTATGTATTTTATTATTTACCCAGTAAGTTTTTTTACCATTTTATTTTCTTGCATGTATTCTTTCGTTATACGTAAATAGTATTTTTTATAGATATTAGATAATTCGTTGAGAACAAAATCAAAATTCGATAAGTATTCGAATATTGCAACCTTTTATAAGGATGTCTAATCACTACGAATTTCCAAGCAATCTCATTAAACCATTATCAAAAATAGAACCAGAAACTGTTGGACTTTATAACAACAAATTGTTCTTAGATTTTATTGGCGAGAGACAAATATTCTCTATCTGAATTTCCCGTATCAAACGAATTTTTTAAGAGCTTAGAAGTTCCAAGAATTTTGATGCGAACTTTCCACAGTCTGGTCGTAGCAGGTGTTGTACACAGGGGGACCAAGAGAGCAACAGAAGGCATAAAAGGTAATAGGACAGTAATTTAGAAAATGCGTACTTATTCTTGGTGCAATTCTGTTCTTCCTCGGTGTTATGATACTCCTGGCCATGTTGCTCACCTGCATCGCTGTGGAATGCTCTGTGTAAGTCGTTTCTGGCACTGCTATATCTGCGAAAAATTGGTGAGATTTAGTGCCAGTGCACTAATACCGCTTGCGCTAATTCTCTTAATCGTTGGAATATTGCTCTTTCATTGCGGATGGGCAGCACATTTACTGGACGATAGTGGACAAATTCCGATCAGGTTTCATTACCCACTTTTTCCTTCTCCAGTGTCGCGTCAGTGCCGTGCAGCGAGCGCTCTGCCAACCCCGTGCAGCGACCCATATGGGCGCGCCGTGTATCTATCGATCGACGCTGCGGCACGGCTTCGGCACGGCGCTGGAGCGGTTTTGACACGCGCTGGCACCGACGATTCTAAACGTAGCCTCACTAACGAATCTTTTGCAGAAAAACTGTAACCACAACGACGACCACATACGAGGATCCAGAAAGTGATCTAGCTGAACAACGACTGTTTGAGTCGGCTTACAGAGAGCCTATCCCGGAGGTATACCTCGCATGACTCGCCTTATTTTACCCTTCCAGGAAAAGTGCAAACAATTTAGGTTAAGCAAGGTTACTGGCAATTTGATGAAAGGGAATCCTGGCAAGCCGTGGCGAATCCTTATCCGATACAGTATGTGAAACGCAAATTGGTTGTAATAACCCCTAATCAATCTCATTATGTTAAGGCACACGCTCAAACACTGCCTGGAAAGACAGCCCTATTGAGGGTTGGAATTTGCATGTATCAAAAGACGAACTCACACTATTTGCAGTAGTTTGGACGCAAAGTGCTATTTTTCCCATTATTTTGTTCTTATTTGTCCAATCGATGATTCTCGTGTTTGGTGCCAAGCAGAATTGTGTATAACTTCGGCGATATTGTCTAATACATCGGCTACAAATTCCATGCCTATCCCTCTTGACGGTTATAAATAAAATTTGCATTAGCAAGTTACATTTGCTCGATATTCGAGAGTGATGAAGAAAACAAGCTATCCAGCCTTCTGCATCGAGTTCACATCTGAAAACTCACAGAACTATTGCAAAGGTCTGGATCTCTATCGGAAACCAGAGATTCAAGGACCTGTCTTCGTGCTTGTCTCTCAAGGAGGACTTTTATAAGCCCTGAAAAAAAAGGAAATTATATGAGTGGCTTTTTTTGTCTCGATAAGGTCCCAAAAACACTGTTTCGTAGGCCAGTGGTAAGCTCGTAAGTAACCTTTGATTCAACTGGTTTGGCGGCTGGAAGGCGGAGCTTTGTGACTCAATTAAGGCCGCTCGCGCCTGCGAAGCAGTCTGCGTCACGGTCGCGCGCGTGCTCTCTGATTATTACTTAGCCATCATTAGTTCACGAAGCCCCGCCTTCAGCCGCCAAGCCAGTTGAAGCAAAGGCTATGAGATTTACTATGAACAAAAATGCAATTACATCTCTCAGGAATTTTTTCATGACTTTAATAGTTTTCGATCTGGTTGTAAAGAAAAAATGTCGCTTTCTACGGTAACAACGAGACAATGTTACGAAGTACTGGATACACCCAAACAAAGACAAAATTCACAGTGGCGTACCGAGGGGGAGGGGGCGGGGGGGGCGCCCCCACCCCATCGAGAACGGGTCGCAAAATTTTTGAAAGTTGCTTACATGAGCTAAAAAATTGTGCAAATGACTTGTTCATACTTGTAAATGATTAAAATATTTTTTAAAATTTTTTAAAAATTCAAATTAGCCTTAAAAAGAATTTTTTTCGGGGGCGTGGCTGACGCCACGCCCCCTTTTTCTGGATTTTCGGGGTTATGAGGCCGGGAAAATTTTTTAAACCACCCCTAAAATTTTTTCGGAGTGCGTGGCTGACGCCACGCACCTTCCTTAAAAAAATTTTTGTCGCCCCCCCCCCCCTCCGAGCCGAAATCCTGGCTACGCCACTGAAAATTCATGAGTAATTCACAAGGCCAAAGATTAAATCTTCGCCCCAAATTCCCGAAATTTCTTTCATGCTCCTGCTTGCAGATAAATGCACTTATCCATATGTGGCCCCGCTACACTTTTTTCCTTTATTAGAATCTAAATTGAATTGAACCGTCCAACTAAGATGGACACTTGACTTAAACTGCCACGCGGGACATGGTCGTAGAACACGAGCAAGCAACCTCAAACTTGGGTAATCAAAGTTTACCTTGGTAACGAAAAGGCAACGTTCATGAGTAAATTAACAATGACACCAATAAATGGGATCTAAACTATACAGATCTATAATGAATTGAGAGAAGGCATAAGTAAATATGTGGGACTAATGTTAAAGTAAGCGAAAGCATACAAGCGACTGATTCTGACTTTGAATGGCCAGCTACTTATATGCATGAGACCAAATCTTCTAACAGCTGTGCATAAATTCACAGATTCGCGAAAGAAATGGTGAAATTCACATCTGATGCTAACGTCTGCAGATTCCCACAATAGCAAAAAGAATGCGAGCTACTGAATTCATCTGCGTTGTACAACGGGCAAGGTATTACTCAACCACACAAACAGAAGCAAACAATCTACCCATTATGGGGCCGTGAAAGATAATACGAATTGCAAAGTTTGTATAGAATCGAGAAAATAATCGATATCGGGAAATGACAAACTTTGCCCTCAGCAGTCCTGAGTTGTTCCGATAGATGCTGTTGTATACGAAAAGCTTAGGACCCATTAAATTTTGGACTTCTAAATTTAGTTCTGACAATTCCAATTTTGGCCGCTTTCAACTTGATAGTTAGTAAAGTAGTATCTGGAAGCAATGAGATTTGTGTGTTTAAATGATCTTACTATCAAAATCTTTCATTGACTACGCAACAACATGCTTAATTGATCAAACGTTTTTCTTGGATTTCGAACATGGACTGAAACAGTGCAACTATCTCTACAATAAATTGCATGTATGAAACTCAATCTACACTATGGCAGAACGAATGAAAGAACTACAGTCAGTTTCATTTCGGATTAGACGAGACATTCTACGTGAAGCAAAGCATGCGTATCGCTGGAGGCTTCGCGAGCGCATAGCGCTGGCATTTTGCCAAGCAAAGACTAAAGAGGTTGAAGAGACGCAAACATGGGTTCTCAGCACGATATGATATACTGTAGCTGCGAAACGGCGCGAACTGTTGCGAGGCGGACTCCCGCCAATCCAATTTCGGCCTAAAGCGGGTCGAAACTTACTGTATATGTCGCTGAAAAGAGGCGGCTCCCGCGGTCATTTGCAACAAATAAGCACCCTTGCACATAGGAGGTGCGTCTTTGCAAAAAGTCTGCGCGGGACCTCCCCCATTCGACGACATATAGTCCTCCACCCTGGTAGAACTTATGATTATGGAGACTGCCTTAACAATAGAGACGAAGAAGCGAATGGTTTGAATTACCATCACAAAAGAACCACGCAATTGCAGTTACTATATTCATCTTTACCGGCATGTTACTTGATAAACGAAACTGCTAGAAAAAATGCATACACTTCAAACGTTGAGCCTAGAGCAATCTCCTTTCCCTTTTTGCTATATCAGTAGTATAATAAGTTCCGGACAGGCCTCACCATGAGTTTAACAACCTTCCTCAATTTCACTGCGCTCCTTGCCCGCGATCAGCAAGCTGACGTAAAAGAATGATCTTTTCAGCGATAAACATGCCTGTTCACAATCCTTTCGTTGAGCTGTACCAGTTTTTTCTTTCTATGAGAGGCATATATTCAAAACTAACGCACATTTTTCTCAACCTTCTTTTAAAGGCAGCGGCTCGGCAGAATGACAACTTTGGGATATTCACCATTCTTTCCCTGGATGAGCTAACATAAGTCCAAGACTGTGCTTTGCAGCTTCAAAAGATATCAATAACCCGCTTTTCGAGACAAAAGCGCTATTTAAGGGCGGACCGCGTATCTGCCCTCTAAATACTGTCTCCAATGTACTCACGAGCCAATCGCGTCTAGAGGGCAGACCGGCAGATCGGAGCGGTCCGCCCTCAAATAGCGCTTTTCACGTCTGAAAAAGCGGTTATTGACATCTTTTAAAGGCAGTAGGTCGGCAGAATGAGACCCGTGGCAAAACAGGGTCACAGGGTAGGAGCCCCATAATGGAACCTATGGGCCAAAGTTCGATCTTTCTCTGCCACTTCTAACCACCGAAATTTCAAAGCGAAAGCAGCGCTCATCTCGTGTCCTCTCCGAACCCGCCCACCCAGACGAGTGAACGCGAAGCCCGTCATGGCGAAGACGCAGAGTCGTTGCGGGACCTCATGCTTATAGCATTGTGGCTGGCGCTCTGACCGCGAAGTCGCTCGTAAATGGGGTGGGCGGGTTCGGAGAGGACAGGAGATGAGCGCTGCTTTCGCTTTGGAATTTCGGGGTTAGAAGTGGCAGAGAAAGATCGAACTTTGGCCCATAGGCTCCATTATGGGGCTCCTAATCTCTTACCTTGTTTCGCCATGGGTCTCATTCTGCCGACCCACTCCCTTTGAAGCTGCAAAGCGCGGTCTTGGACTTAGCTCATCCAGGAGAACCGAGATACGATAAATATCTTAAAGTTGTCATTCTGCCGAGCCGCTGCCTTGAAGTGCTGGATTGATGTGTAAACGACTGCCTCAGTAACTTTTTTCCCGAAATTTTTGCTTTTTACTCTTTTTGCCCTAAATCCATGACCAATAATCGCATCAAATTCAAGATATACCAACGATTAAGAAGTTTTGTGCTACAAAATGCTTTACGAACAAAATTCACCAGGATCACTGAGACGAGAAATTCAATCGCGTATTTGGACGATCATTGGGGCTCATACGTGCGTGCCGTACAAACTCTTGAAGGCATCGTCTACCCAAAGTAGGGGTTAATGAGATTATGATGGCATACTAGCGTGGGCCCCCACACTAGGCAAACCCGCAAGATGCGTAGCAAAGATTGTTTCCGGAGCGAAAAATCCGCTCCGAAAGGGACGTAATCCGATGCTAACCACTCTGCCCAGCTGGTCACCCCGCCCATTTTGCAGGTTTGCAATTGACGCGCGCGGAGTATATTAGCGCAACAGCCCCACGACATACATTACGGCCGTCCCGCTTGTTCTCCAAAACGTGGATTTCTGGGGGATTTCGCGGATTCTCGACTCCATATCCGAAATCAGGATCTTCAGAAGGCCTGAAAGCGATAAAAAGATGAAAGTCGAGACTTTGGGTAGACGGTGCCTCTAAGCAAAGGCCGGTTGCAGAACTTTTGCGCTATGCAGCAAGGGTAAACCTAGTTTATCTGATGGTAAAAAACGTTAGGGATTTCTTACTTTTCTAGGTAGAAAAATGAGATAATTTCAAAAAGCCGATTCTTGAACGCGCCGAGATATCAGAAAAAATGAGTGCTTTCGACTTCGACTATTTCTCTCAAAAGGAATTCCGTATATCCAAGCTTGGCATCACTGCTCGAAAGACCTTTGGCTACACGATGAGCAAAGTGTGCTCCATCCTACTTCATTTCAGAGTAAGTTCTGCTCTCTCAAAGTAGAGACTTCTAAAAAGGTTTTTGGCAATTTTCAGGCTAGAGGAACTTCTTTCTGATGATTAAAGCCACGCGAAATTATATTGCAGCCAAAAGTTTGCCGGTTACAGGAATCTATTACGCACAGAAAAGTCTCTTCAGAAAAGAATTATCTTGGTTCATATTTGAAGTATAGAAAATTTAATTGAATCAACCTTATATACTGAATAATAATAAAAAGAAATTTTTTAATTCCCAATGTTTGAATAATGAAGTGGCCCCATATCGTTCCTACCCTTAAACAGAGTGAAAGTATTTATAGACCTTTTCCGCAGGGCTCGGCACAGGTGGCTTACCGGGCAAGCTGGATATCGTTTTGGAGGTAAAAAGCAAAGGGGATATCGTTTTTGCAGAAGAGAATGCCGCTGTCTTGCGATCTGCTGCCGGCACACCGCCGGCATGCCGGCAGCATGGTTTCTTAAACAAACAAAGGGCTTGTTTACAGCGAAGTGAAAATGAAATGGAACCAAAATGGGTGTGTAGATGGGTAATGGGGGACTAGTACTATGTGCAAAAAATTATGAAAAAGTTATGTGAAAGTCGCGGCAAACTTTTTTCGGAGTTAGGTGGCTTTACAGCCACCTAAACAGCCACCTGAGGTGGCTGTAAAAAGAAAAAGTCATAATTTTCCCTTCCTTCACATAATTTTTTCACATGTTCAGTATATCTTTGTTGTACATCAAAAACCCTATAGATGAGTTTTTGAATCTCCTCAAACCCCCTCCTTTTCGCCTAGTTACAGCCCTCTAAATATTTTGTACGGAGGAGGCAAGCCCCAGGAGCGCGCAACGGTGCGCGCCGGACACAGCATGCCGCCAATTCGGAGAATACGAAATTCTTTAGATCATTTTCGTTTGCTCATGCTGCTTTTGAGTTTCGTTTCATTATTTTTTGTTATTTGTAATTGATCCATTCCTGATCGCGTCACAGGTGATGTCGTATTTGTGTAGCGAAATCAGCGGGGACTTCGTTTTTGCAAAATTGAAAAAGCCACCTCATGCCGAGCCCTGCTTTTCCGGCACTCCTCTGTAAGGAAGGTGTAAAAATTATTTTTCAAATACTGAGAAGTAAGTTCGTTTAGGAGTAAACAGTATTTAAATAAATGGTCTAGAAAGCAAGCTTCCAGAAAATTGAGGAAGTAAAGAGATAGCGAAGTTTGCAAAAATCGGAAAACGGTTGGCTTTCTACCAAAAGAAACATCATAGCACAGCCATCGTAGATGGTAAGTTCATTTGAATTACTTTGATTGGATTTTGTATAAACAGACAAATACAGGCAAACATTCGCGCACACAAACGGAAATTCATCTTTATACGTAGCAACCGTGTGTAGATAAAGTGAAGCTGGAACCTTGACTCATTGAAATAGGCACATGAAAACTCCTACAGGTTCTCGATCAGTCTCCGATGCCAGTGACGATTTCGCTTCGCCAATTTCCAAACCATAGGAGTCGCTGACGTCACCATATATACAACCAACTGAATTCTTATCGGCTACCTAAACGATCCACGTTTGAGTTATAATCTTAGGGTGAACGGTAAAAGATGGGACACCTAGAGAATGACTGTGGACTTATCAAAAAGGGAAAGTGATTAAACTTCTCAATTTTGACAGTTGTTAGAATAGATCATTCTCTTTCAGAAAATACCCATATGAGGTCATTTACATACCTAATAATTTTTTTAGTGGTTGAAATGCAAAGTTAGTCACTTTGACAAATTATAAATTTCGGGCAGTATCTGCGCAGTGAATCATGTGAGACCGCCCAAAGTACCACTGCTAGAGTGGGCGGTGGGACAGTCACCAGACTCACAACGGTTTGGTGGCCTTAACTTTGAAAGTCAGGAGATACGGCCGTTAGCAGCTTCGAGAACATAGATACGCGTTATTCAATTCTTTGCAGGTGAACGCATGTTTTCTAGGCACCATCTGATAGAGCTCTTTTACGCACTACTCATTCATATGCAGCTTACCTCAAATTTTATCATCTTCGGAAAATACAGATCAAAACTTGATTCAGTGATTTTTGTGGCGCGAAAAAATCGCGATTTTCCAGGTATTTCGCTTTTTTTATCCAAAGATAGAAAGAAATCCTGTATAATTGATACATTGTTTGAAAGAGCATGAAGAGCTCTTTCGAATGGTATATCAATTGCTCTATAACCTTACGGTATGGCAGCGCAAGAATGAGCGATGTTTAAAAAACCCCGTTCGAGTTCGTCAAGGCGCCACGCGTAGGGTTGTGGGAGAGGAGCGTTGACGCTTTGCCAGAATAATAAGCGAAGGTCGCTTATATAAGCGACGTTTACGTTGCAGCCTGCTTATTGTTGGTCGAAACAAAAAATCTTGAAATTTAATAAAAAATAAGCTGCCCCATTTTTTACCGATCACCCAATAAATCGCGAGCTCTACATTTCTTTGCAATCGGAACACTTACCATTAAACACTCCGCTCTCATACAGGGTGTCCCAAGATGTGCACACTGTTTGATCGTTAATAACTCTCCTGCTTTCATGTCTTTTGCCGAGCTTAAGGTGCCATTCTTAGACTGAGGTTCAACTTAGATTTGTTGTGTGGAGCGAATCACCAATTCACTTTTCATTACTGTAGGATTACGGTATGACCTTCCAGCATACAGCGTCACTATGAAATAGGCCATTTAGTGAAATAGTTTCAAAAAATCTGAATGTTTGTATGGCAAGGTTTTCAGGCGTGCTGATTTCACTACATGACTTTTCATGAGTTTTTCGAGCTTTCTTGATGGCGTATTCACATTTCTGATGAACATTGGAAAAACAGTTGCTACCCTAAAATCTGAAATAGCTTATGAAAGAAGCGCTTTACTAAAGTGCAAATTTCATATTTGGACTCAGCGTCTTAGATTAGCCCATTCAAGAGTTTCTGGCCTGTTTGGCTTTCTTTCTGAGGCAAATTACCGACAAAATACTGCTTTCAATGGCTTAAAATCCTCCTCGAAGTTCCTACCGTAACCTTACAGTTATGAAGAAGGATCGGTCATTCGCTCCACACAGCAAATCTAACAATAAGTTGAACCTCAGTCTACAGAATGGCACCTTAAGCTCCGCAAAAGACATGAAAGCAGGAGAATTATTAACGATTAAACAGTGTGCAATTGCAAGACACCCTGTATATCTTCGCAAGCTTGCAATTTGAAAAATTGAAAAAAAACGTGGAGGTGGCCTGGCAATGTCCCACAAGGCATACAACTAAAAATGCGTGTTTTCATCAATGTGCTAATTTGTAGTTGGCTCCTCTCACCCTCCCCTCCCCCCCCCCCTCCCCCATGCACTCACTCTGTACGAGCATAAAAAAATTTTAGCAGTTGATTGAGCATCGCTCCTTCTTCCCGATACTTAAGATTGAAAAGAGGAGTCTTCGACCGCGGCTAGATGCAAAAATACCAGATTGTCATTAACATTCCCGAGTTTTCCCAACATTTCTTCATTTCTTCTAATAAGGGATGGATACTAGGTGACCGTAACCTTTCAAAATGGAACGTATGCTATCAAATGCATCTTGCAGCGCTAATTCTTAATCTGCTTTCCGTATCTACTGTGCGCTCTTCCGTAATAAGTTATGAACATTTCTTGCCCCGAAATTCGCACTGTTTTGATTACAGGATTCACCAATATCGTTAGAGTGTTCACTTACGCGCTAAAAAAAGCGTCCAAATAAAATAAACCTTTGTTTTGTGCTCAGGAGAACTCTCTGCGATATATTAGGTTGATGCAAACGTCCTTTCCCCCCATTTTCAAAAATTCATAGCTTATTGAATTCTCAACGAATCTGCAAGACCTAAATTTTGCATAAGAGAAGAACTCATGCTCTTTGCAATCGTGCATGAAATGAAGGAGATAGAAGCTGAGAACCAAAACCACTCAAAATCTGAATTTTTCGTGTAGGGTCATAACATTCGGAAACTTGCAACAAAAATCGGAGCAGTCGATATTGCAGGTTCTTTCACTAGCTCCTTTTAACGGTGTGCAAAGTTTGCGCCGATTGACCGTCTCTATGGAAAGTTACGATTTTTGAGCAATCAATACAAAAAAGCGAATTTGATTCATTTTGGCATTTTTCACGGAAATCATAACTTTTCATAGAGACAGTCAATCGGCGCAAACTTTGCACCGTTAGAAAGAGCTGGTAAATTAATCTACTATACCTACTGCTCCGATTTTTGTTGTAAGTTTCCGATTTTTTATGACCCTACACGAAAAATTCAGATTTTGGGTGATTTTGCTTTTGAGCTTCTATCTCCTTCACTTGTAAACATTAACAAACATTTCAAGCACAGTTGCAAAGAGCTTGAGTTCCTCTCTTACGCAAAGTTTAGGTCTTGCAGATTCGTAGAGAATTCAACAAGTTATGAATTTTTGGAAATGGGGGAAAAAAACTTTTGCATCAACCTAATATAAAGTCTAAAATGCCTGGATACTGACGATTCTGGCCACATAGATCTCTTGAAATTAGTACGGAAAAAAGTCCGTAACTTCGTTCAGAGAGTAGCATAGCAGGTAGTGAACACAGATCTAGAATCAGCGTTCCACGGCGCATCTGCTGGTATACATCTTACTGCAGAAAGTCACAGTCACCAAGTATCTTTTCCTTGCTACTCGATACGCGAACCTTCGGAAATTCATTACATACTAGGCTGTTTCAAAAGTTTTTGAAACAGCTTAGTATCTTTTTGTTTCAAGTTTTTTTTTTCTGTCCGAGTTTCAAGTGCCTTGATTTAGCGCAGCTATTTTCTTAAGGTTTCGCACTTATGGCATTGTCATAAACATTATTTAGAAATACTTATTCTGCTCTTTCTAGTGCTCACTGAGGTTTGGCGCTTCATCTTTCCAATGATGGAATTTCAGGCGCTGAAGCAAAGTTGCCGAAATGCAGTCATGCCTAAGAAAAAGTTTCCATAAAGAGAACTTCCGGTATTCGTAAAACTAAGTATGTACACGTAATAATTCTTAATGGGTGAAGGTGTAATGGGCTAACATAAGCACAATATTCCTCCGACGTAGAGAATGTCTCACTTTTTCAATTTTTTTCAAAGATAGAAGATAAACTCAATTATTCAACAAGCGACAACAATCTACATATAGCGTCAGGTGATGCAATCAATATTGCATATGTTAGAAAAAGCGAGGCGAGCAGAAACCATCGGCCAATTCTTTTCTTCTTCTTTTGCGACAGCAAGAAAAAAATCAAATATTAGCAAGCCAGCATATTTTCGCACGCGAAGGAAGGCTCAAATAATGGGTTTTTTGATTTGTTCGCAAAAACTATGCAGCAAAAATAACTCGAAATCTCTATAGCCGCAAAAGAGCCTCTGACAAGAGAAGGATGGTTGGTCGAAGTGGCCTTTTGAGATGAATTTGTACACCATGGTGGAAGGCATAAAACGCTGATTCCAAATCTGTCTTCCTTATCTGCGGCGGGTTCCTGGAGGAGGAGTCATGAGCGTTTAGAGGAGCAAAGACTGAGTGTTTTTCTGAGATAAAATTGGCTAAAATTTTCTCAGCGTCAATTTTTTTCCAATAAACGCTCATAACTTCTTGCGCAGAAACGCGCCGCAGATAAGGAAGACAGATTTAGAATCAGCGTTTTGTGCCCTACATTTTGATATACAAATCATCGAAAAAGGCCACTTCAACTGACCATCCTTCCCTTGTGAGGTATAGGCTACTCATTGATGGCAGCCAAATACGTCTGCCCACCCTCATATGGAAGCAGTATTGTGTCAAACTGGACGGGAAGAAAACCTTGCAGTATTTGAAAAACTTTTTTCTTTCTCTTGCTTGCCTTCCTTACATGTCATAAAGCGCCTGTGATAGTCATAAACTTGCTCAGTTCAACAGAATTTAATTTGTTCAAAATTATTGATTTTGAAAAAAGTTACAAGATTTCAGATTAAAAAAATCGTAAATCGGACAGGACTTTTGAAACAACCTAGTATAGCAAAGTCTCAAGCTTAACAGCTTTTTGAGGCAGGTCATGTAATTTATATATGTTATAGATTTATTAGTTTTTATCTATGTTTTAATTTTCGTGTGAAAATACTTTTAAAAAATCGCTAGAAAAAATTATGGGCAGCTTGATTTTCACACTAGATACCTCGCTTTTGGACCAACGGCATTTAGGTAATACGTAATCGAATACGACCTCCCCCCACCCTCCCCTGAAAGCACCTCCCTCCTCTTTACTTCCGGTACTCAGAGTGTCAAATTCTGGAGACATCACCCCTCTCTTTCCAGTTTTCAGAATTTTTGAATCTGTACGCGATCTGCTGTGAATGCACCCTTACAAGCACACGTAATTTAACGGCGGATTTGATCTGAATAGGCCTATCGGAAAAACCACAATTTCGTTAAGAGCGGAGTGTTTGGTTCCAAATTTTTTTCTATAGCAAGAAGAGGCTACGTGCTCAATCATACAATAAACAGGGAAGAAGCGACTTTTGAATTCTGAAGACATGTTGAGGGAGTCAGGCGTAGACGCGGAGTTAACCAGTGCTTTCACGACAGCCATTCCATTATCTGTGGTGAGACTGCAATTTTCATCAGTCTAGTCTTTTCTTCTTCACTTTACTCAATCGTAGTACCCTATTTCCAGGTGTACAAGTTTGCTATAAACGGTACAAGTTTGCTATAAACGCGAACAAAAGTGGGCGCGTCGCTGCGCGTATGCGTAGCGTGCAGTTGCTTTTTTCCATCAATATTTCTCCATTCAACGCGCCTTATGGTACGCAGATTGCTTTGGCTTCTTTCGCATTTGTAGCGAATAAGGTGTGTTATATTATACACCTGAAATAGGTTTTTTTTCAATTTTGAGCGAATTCTCTTGGTTACGACCTCCCCCCCCCCCCCGCTCTCAATCTTATTGCAATAGGACCCTCAGATCGGACACGCCTGACCCCACGCTCACTGGTTATTACGCTAACGTCTAGTGCTCTCGCCGAAAGATTTTTTCGCATCTTGTAAGATGTGATATGGGCCTTGGAATAGAGATACGGGATATCTTCAATATATGTCATCCTTAACGGCAAGAAGTTCATAATTCCTTAAGACCATAGAAACTATACAGAGCAGAGTTTTGCAAGGAAAAAGGGAAGACAAAATACTTCGAATTCCCAAAGAAGCAAAAACTTCACGAAGTTTCCAAAAGATATCCACTTCTAGCATTCAACATCAGAGGAGTATAGACAAAAATAATAAAAGCAAAAAAGATGTGGATATAAAGCCGTAATTGTAATAATCCTTTCAAAATTGAATTTCTATGACCTAGTAATATTAAGCGAACTAGATAAGCTAAGGCCAAATAAACTGAGTAGGGTACTAATATAAGATGAAAATGTGCTACACTGATATAAAAAAATACAGCGTAAGTCATTTAACATCAAAATGTCTCATTTTAATAGCTTACGCGAAAAATTCGTCAGTTGTCCAGCTAGTTTGAAAAAATTACATTTTTAATGAAAAAGCTGAATTTTTTTAGACAAAAGGATAAAGCTAACTGTACAGTTTACAAGATTTTCGGCACACCTCAGCGCGATGAAGTGCGTAAAACCTTTCGGCAAGAGTTTTAGACAACAAGCGTAGTTACTGTACCATATGCAGCGGGTTTGCCGGCAGTCGGCGGCTGGCTGCGGCAACAGTAGGCTGCCCAGTAACACTTGCACGACACCCTATGAACGCTTAGTGCAGACTTAAGCTTTTAATGGTAAATTCATCAATCAACCTTTTTCGATAAAGAATGCAATGTTGTCGGTAGTCTGTGCCTTCAGACTCTGTGGTGGAGGATTAAGCTCACGTTTCGACAATGCCGTCGTCATCAGAGGTCCGAAAACAGATTGTAGACTCTTTGAGCATATTTTGAGTTGTACCAATCTTACGAACGAATACCAGATGCACCTTTTTTCAATTTTTGAGCGAGCAGCTTCACCGCCTCGGAAAACGAACTTATACCGCACGATACTAACAGGCAATACGCAGCATTTCATAGGGTTCTTTGGTCACAAAATTTTCTGATGTGTTCAGGCTGATCGAATTTAGAAAACAGGTGCGTCCTGTACTCGTGAAATCAGGGTAATCACTTTCTTTCCATGTAATTGAAGGCAGTGTCCGTGCAAAGAGTCATTTTGAGATTTTGTGCTTACTCGGGTCTAAATATGCCACATTCGAAGATCCACACTGGAGGGCGCTAAAACGGCTAAAAAGGGCTCGAACGCAAGAGTGAAATCAGCAGGTGGGCGGGGTCTTCCCCCTGTGAAATCACGCTCCTACCGGAGCAATCTTCTCAATTTTGATAGCCGCCCTGACATCTCCGCCTGCCAAGAGCAAACGCTCGATTGAAGTCGGAACCGAGATGATTGCTCCAAAAGTCAAAACTGAAGTCACAGTGGGGAAGACTCCGTCTACCTCTGATTTTTCTCCTGTGTTAAAGCCCTTTTTCGCCGTTTTTGCGCTCTTTAGTGTGGATTTTTGGATTCAGCATAGCGAGTAGGCCCAAGCAAGCAAACAAAATCTACTTCTTGCCCAGACACTGCCTTCAAGAGCAGACATTGACGAACTCTGTATATACATATATATAAATAAATATTCACTTACTTCATTAATAATTTCTTTGAAATCTTTGAACGCTTCGTTTTCTTTTCTTCCTTTTTCTCTCCACTGGTCAATGACATGATTTACAACTTCGATCGCCGATTTTTCATCACTAAATATTCTCAAAATAAGTAGCTAACTGTAGAAGTAGGGCATGCTGTTAACAGGAACAAGCATCACAGCACTCACTCGAAGTACCCAGGCAAAATCACTGATTTTTCAACGAGTTCCTCACATTGTTCGATATCATCGTTTTTCACATTCCAGAAACAATTGCCGTAATTTACAAGCGTACCTTCCAAGTTCATCTAAATTGGTTCTTATCACGGATGAGATTGGAAGCCGTTTAAAGCAATTCATTTTTATGTGAATACTATGGTCGTTTCATAAGTTCGTAGGGTTTTATTTTAGTAACCATTTTTTGGAAGCGGTTGGTTTACGGCAAAGTATCTGCACCATTCGAAGGAGCTCATCTTGCTTTACAAGAACTGTTGCTCGTTTTTAATACAAACCTACATCCTCTTGTTTTATAGCTTCTTAAAACAAAGTTTTTTGACATGTAAAAATTGGCGAATTCGGCAACTACACCTCCCGCATTTGGTCCGTTTCCCGCAAATGTTGTGTCCTTATGTAGGCGGAAAGCTGATAACAAGTAATATTGGTATGACAAGTTTGCAGCACGGCAATATGCTAAGAACTGTATAAACAAGGTCTGTGCAGTTGTTGTCTTTGACTGCCATCGCGTGAGATTTGTAGCGACAGAATATGTCGGGCCTTCTGAAGGACCCTGGCGAATGAAAGGGTTTTTCTAAGTGGTGTATATGTATGAGTACAAGCTCTGGGCACCATTCTATGTCTTCCCAAAATTTTCTAGAGGGGGAATTTTCTAAATTGATCAAATGCAAAACATCTACACACGGGTAGAAGTGCGCTTTATTCTTCTTTATAGCACCTCTCTGAATAGGGAATCTTCTTTTATATACACCGTAGTCCCGTGAGCAGTCCTTGTCAATTATAACAACTTCAGATAAAAAGTTGCCATCAATGATTCCACATATGGATCTTAAGTTGCAGGTGCCGAAATAGTTTTTGCCTCTCAAAAAAAATTTTCTGTGAGAAGCCATAAAACAAAGAAATCTAGGTTTGCTCCAACAGTTCTTGTAGAGCGACTATATTTTGCTCCTTGCGTCTCATTCAGACGGTGCACGGTCCGTTTTTGCTTTGCAAGAGTCTCAAACGGCACATCGTTAATCTTTGAATTGGCGTAGTTTTGTTTTTGCGCCAGAAATCGAAAACTTTGTACGCATTTTAGTTCACATAAACCACATAATGCCATAACAGTGCGACATATAAGAGAAGAGAAAATTTGTGAAAAAAGCTGCAAAATCTAGTTGCCAATCTGATAATTTTTGGATGTACAGCGGAAGATTTATAGTTTACAACCTCCTGTATGAAATGAACTAGGTTTCAAACCCAATTTTCATTTCCAATCATCAGAGGCAAACGTATAAATAGCGCGAAATTTGCAAAGGGTGTTCAATTTTTGATAGCAAAGTAAAAGAATTCAAGAATTTTCTACAACTGGTCTTTGTGTGCTGGTGAGTCAAGATTGAAAATGATGCTGCTTAAACCTGTATCAAACCAGAGTCATTACAAATGATGCTGGAAAAAGTTGCCAGTCCAATTTTAATTTCAACCAATCTAACGCGATTACTACAGCTGAACGATTAGAATGAGCAAAAGGCAGCGATTTGGTTGTGCATTCGATGGTATCGATGGGAACTTCTAGGGGAACAAACGATGCAGATTTGGCTAAAGGCCTTTGATTCAGGCTACGTAAGGCTTAATTTCTGTTTTTTGACCATCCACTCACTCAAAAAAACATAAAAATTGACATAATGATTTGCTTAATGATTTTTAGCGCTCTGCAATCGGAACGAGAAAAAATGTTGCGAACTCAATTTCCAACACAAATGTTTAACATTCATTGAAGAATGCATCCATCAAGAGCATTGAACTTTCCATACCAATTCTGTTGGTTGCAAGTTTCGTAAATCAGGATTCATGTGATTGTGTGGAAGCAAGCCCGCGTTAAAATTCTGTATTTTTGATGCTACATTAACATAAGCAACGGCAATCAATTTTGCATCAATCCCTCCCAAAACATATGAACATCAATTAAACAAATGGAGTAAATAGCCATTTTTGCAATGGTCTGGAGCAATCTCGCTTGTTATTGAGGCGATCGAAAGTTGGCAACATGCGGAATAATTTTAACTGAACTGAACAGAGACTGAACTTCTCGCACTCGTTAGAGCATATTAAGGCATTCGCAACATTTCGTACAAAGTATTAATGTGTTGTTGTTATGTAAATATTAAGGAGCAAAGTCGATGGTAGTATATGATTGACCATCAAGTAATCGAAGAAAGTCACGATGGATGGGGCTAGAACTACCAAAATTATAGCTTGTTGATGCCACTAATGTCCACGAATACAGCCTGCTATCTTCAAACGTGGAACACAAATACCAATTAAAAACAAGGGTGAACTGAATTAAATTACATCCATTCGACACTACCTTTTCAGCACTATAAAGATCGTTCACAATTATACGAACACTTCATATTTTGCTGTTTCCGGAACTATTTGAAAGAAATGCAAGGAACCGTTTGTATCACGTGTAAGGGCATAGCCGAAAATAGTATAGCACAGCACAAAAGTGAAATTCGATGTCAGTTTTAGGGAAGCATTGTGCGCCGAGCACTATTTTGACTAGTTTATAATTATACAAACACCTCAGTCAGAGACCTTTTTTCATTTGATGCTGCAACCCTTAACATCAAAATGTCATGTAGGCTACGACCTTGAATTCTGAGATGTTTATTACGCACTGTACCTGATAAAGTTTGAAAAGGGGAGCTTTACCCAATTTCATAGCTCGAAATGGCTGCGCACCAAGTCGGTCTCAAAAATGCTTGCTTTATTGAGATTTTAGACCTTTATCCAGCTCATAGGGATTGAGAATGAGAAGCCATTGAAGGCAGTGGCTCGGCAAATCTCATCCTAGTCAAATTTGCGCTTACCTAGGGTTATTCAATACGATGATCCCGAAAATTCACTTTTGAGAGCTTGAAAACGGCGAAAATGAGCGTTTTTTGATGCCCTTCCCTTTGGGATTGAACGAGTGGAGCAAGACTGATGACGCTAAATCGTTGCAGGACTCAATGACTATAGCGTTGGGGCGGGTAGCCTCCAATGGTGAGAAGGAAATTGTCAACTCGTCCTGATGCGTGTAAGATTGGGCGCGTGTAAGTTTGAGAGCAATTTTCTCGGCAGGGAAAGCATGCTGTGCAACTGGGATTGCACTGTTTTTATACTTGGGCGATAAGGAACCTACCAGGTTGAAATCCTGAGTTTTTGGGATTTTACCGATCCACTGCCTTTAAATGTGCGGTCCAACGCTCAAAAAATATGATGTAATCGTCCTAGTTGCCAACATTCCAAAGCTCACCGTTGCGTTCGACAAAGATAGCTCGTGTATGGAAGAGACGGCAGGTGGTAAGAAAATCGATAGAGCGCTTGGCTATAGGGTTGACACAATTTTGAGACTTAAAGCTCGACTTCTGTCGTTCACAAAGTTCGCGATTTTGTAAGGACATGGCAAACTTAATTCTCTTCGCTTCTCACTTCGTTTCCACCACGCACTCGATACTTAATGAAAATGATAAGCCACTCAACGCAAGCATACCTTTTCTTGCTTTCTAGCTGCGAAGCAATAAGGATAGCTTTTGCAGAGACTTCAAAAGTCCTAGCACAAGTTACATACAAACGATGCATTTGCCACATCACCCAAACTTCGCGAACAGCAGAAGTCGAGTTTTGAGTCTCCAAATTGTGCCAACCATATGGTGATTGGGACTGGGTTGGCAACTGGGACGATTACATCAACATCTTTTGAGCGTTAAACTGCACATTTATTGATTCCTCATTTCTTAACCGTTTGAGCTGAATAAAGGTTTGAAAGTTCAATAAAGCAGGTATTTCTGGAGCTAATTTGGTGCGCCGCCATTTCGAGCTATGAAATGGGATAAAGCTCCCCTTTTCAAACTTCAGGTCCAGTGCATAATAGAACCAGTGCATCACCTCTGCTTCGCAGAGGCTCGCACTGGCCCTACTTTCTGTATGCCTTACTCATTCCCGCATAATAGCGACATTGAAACTCACCGCGTTATGCAGGTTATCACGAATGATTTGTAGACAGCTACTCATTCCTAAAGCTTTTTTGCGTGTGATCGGTATTCTCACGAGGACGAAACTTTTCTCGGAAGAATAAATGCAAATTTGAGTAGGTTTGTAGACATTTTATGGCTTGGTAGTCGCCATAACGGTAATAATCATCGTGGGCTACATCACTGTGCAAAAATCTTTTCAAGTGATCAGGTAAAATTTTGGGAAATTGAACATTTACGCAACTAATTCTGTTTGGCGCCATCTTCGTAAAGTAACCAACTTTAGTCGAATTTTTTGGGCTAAAGTCCATGGCTTGTACATTAGCTTGTCAAACATATCCACGACTTTGCAAAAAGTTTATATACGGACCCAATTTTGCCGGCCAGAAGTTAAGTGGACCCGCTTCAGGCGCAATTTCTAGGGGATCCACTTATCGGATCCGCTTGTGCTTTTGCACAATGGACTTTCCTGCTGCTAGGATGTAATATGCAAAATTTGGGCTCAAGGGGTTGGCTGAAACTCTTCCTCCGAATTTCGTGACAGACAGATTTACAGACAGACACACACACAAAAAAACAGACGGCCTTAGCGCGTTATTATAGTAGGATATCTCAGACTACAAGGTAGTCTTACATGAGATTTTGGAGGGTGCGTGCAAGTGTTACTCAGGCAGCCGCCTGGTGCGCCAGCCGCCAGAGCTGGCACCAACGCCGCGGCTGAGCTACCGTAAGCGCGCTCTCGTCATCCGCAACCTCTCGCAGAGAGGTTTTCGCAGCAGCCTCGCACCACATCGCGCTGAGGTGCGAGAAGTCCCTTAGAGGTTGCTTTACTGCCAAATATTATATATCGATCAAGACAGCAGAAAGTTTGTAGTTTATTAGTAAGATACAATACAAAAAATATACGAAAACAAAAAAGCTCAAAAAAAATAAATTTATGAAATAATTATGAAAATCAAATTAGAAGCATGATACAAGACTGTTTAAAAGTTTTGTCCGAATTTCATTTGCCCTGTTTCAACGGAGCTATATTCTTAGGGTTTTGCACTAATGGTATCGTCATAAACATCGTCTAGAAGTACTTTTCCTGCGCTTTTAGTGCAATTTTCAAGCAATAAAAAATATACAAAAAATCTCACTACCTTCTCATAATCTAGAATTATTCTAAAATTTCCATTTTTAATCACTCTTTCAGGCAGTCAAAAACAAGCTAGTATGTTGCGCGATTTTTCTTTTGTGTGGTGGCAAATAAAATTGGGACCTAAATTTTTTTTTTCAAATTTCCTTAATTCATTTCGAAATTTTTCACGAACTTCAAAACTTACGCCACACATTGCGTGGACGGTGTATAATTGCCCTTTTTCTATCCCTGCTTAAATCGTTATGGGATTTAACTTGTGAACGCCGCTCTCGATCAGCACTTTTGGTCCGATTTCAATGACTTCTTACTTTTTCGAAAATTTGGGAGTCCGCAATAATCATCAATAATTACATTGGAGTAGTAGATATGGGTTGTTGTTTCTAGGTTGTTTCAAAAGTTCTGTCCGATTTGCGTTTTTTTCCATCCGTTTTTTTCCATTTGTAATATATGTCAAATATGCCGACTTTTCAATATTCGATTTTTCCTTGCTGCGGCAAATGAAAAAAGCCAACCGACCGATGGTTCTTGCTTGCTCTAGTTTTGCTCTAACATATGCAATATTGAACATCACCTGTCGCTATATGTAGATTGTTGTCGCTTGTTAAATAAATGACTTTGTCTTCTGTCCTTGATGTCCTTGAAAAAAATTGAAAAAGTCACCCTCACCCATTAGTGCAAAACCCTAAGAACATAGCTGCTTTCGTACATTATTTATTTTGCTTATTTTCGTATATTTTTTGTATTGTATCTTACTAATAAACTATAAACTTTCTGCTATCTTGATCGGTATATAATGTGTGGCAGTAAAGCGACCTCTGAGGGACTCTCGCACCTCAGCACGATAAGATGCGAGGCTGCTGCGAAAATCTCTCTGCGAGATGCGGACGACGAGAGCGCGCTTACGGTAGCTCAGCCGCGGCGTTGGTGCCAGCTCTGGCGGCTGGCTGCAGCACCAGGCGGCTGCCCGGGTAACACTTGCATGCCTCCCGATTTTGGATGTTAAGGGTTGCAGCATCAAATGAAAAAGATCTCTGATTGAGGTGTTCGTATAGTAATGAACCGGTCAAAAAAGTGCTCGGCGCACAATTCCCCAAAAGTAACATCGAATTTCGGTTTTGTGCTGCGCATACTATTTTCGGCTAGGCTCTTTCACGTGGTACGAATAATTTCTTGCACTCCTTTCAAAAGTCTGAGAAACGGCAAAATATGAAGTGTTCGTTTAATTATGAACCGAACTTTATATTAGGCCGGTCCGAAGTTTTGTCGGTCCTATAATGACCCGCAATTCCCGTACAGTAAAGATAAACAAACATTTCAAGCCGTATCCGATGCAGAAATTCCTCCTCTTTCCAGCTGCTATCGTCGTCTCCCCGCGATAGATGGGGCTTGTCGTCTGCAAAGTCCGTAGACGTGCGTATTTCGTACGGTATTAGTCATGGCGTGGCATGTATATACATGCCACGTCTAAATACTCGTTAAATCTTCATCATATAACATTAGTTTTCGTACTCTTTAACTGTCAAAAACTGCCACGCGCATACGTTGGCAACGTTGGCAAAACCGCGCCGGCTAGCACCGTACGAAACACGCACATCTACGGACTTTGCAAACGACACGCCCCCCCCCTATCGCGGGGAGACGACGATATATTCCCAATGTGATTGTTGAAAGAGTGCAGAGATAATCGCTGAAATTACAACCATTCGTTTTCACCGTGTTGATTTTCAGAATTTTTATATGAGAGTTTTGGGGGAGCTTTACTAACCAGCAGATTAAGCAAACCTTTTGCAGAGTGTGGCAATTTTTGTAGCTCTGTGGTATTTCAGAATTAATAAAATATATTTTCAAAGTAACCAATTTTATATTCCACCTGTTCTAACCTCGTGGGATATGAAATGGTAGAAAGCTGGTACCATTGATGCAGGTTTTTTTCCTCTTTCGAACGGTTGTCTTTTCTTGGCAAGACAAGCGAAACTTATGGAAAAAATTGCAGTATTTCTCGATTTCACGAGCGCGCGTACCCTAAGTTTCAAAATCTGCACATTTTGAAGCGAAATCGCCCATTTACTTTTAGCGTTGGTAGTAGTCATAATCGCGTTTTGAAAACTCATTAACCTGAAAATTTTGCGGTGCTGGTGCAATAACAAGTTATGCGTTTTTTTCAAAACCCTACGCTTTTGGGTATTTATTTGAAAAAATTCTGCAGATGTAGCTTAGTAAAGAAGAAAAATGGCTCCAGTCAACTAAAGGTTTGCCCTACCTTCTATTAATGAAGCTTCCCCAAATCTCATATAAAAATTGAAAATTAGCGAAAGTTGAACATGGTGAAAAGGAGGAGTTGTAGTTTCTAGCGATTATATCACCACTCTGTAAACAAATCACATTGGGAATATGGCACCTGGAAAGAGGAGGGAATTCTGCATCGGACACAGCTTGAAGTGTTTGTTTATCTTTACAATGTAAGGGATTTGCGGATCATTTTAAAACCGACATAACTTTTGGACCGATCTAATATATGTATGGTTAGCCAGCGCTTATAAACGTGCTATAAGGAATGTACAGTAACCTGATATAGCTTAGGTCCGGCCTCCTTTTTGATGTAGTTGAGAAGCTTATCTTTTGCTACCGGATCTTCGCTGAGCCGTCTCCATTGAGTGCAAATAATGGTCGACAAGCACTGCAAATGCATCTCAAAGGAAGCATTTAGAGCCAAAAAGCTCGCCTAGCCTAGAATCTGTCATCTGGATCGGTATGTGTCAATATCCCGTCTGGATAACTGCTCACGTTCAGACAGTCAGGTTGTCAATTCGCCTAATCCCCGAGTAAGCTTAAAATGCCTATCCCAAATATGCTGTTCTCAGCTGCAAAACCTTACTTTAAAGCGAGTTATGCCTCTTGGGCGCTCATGCCTGACGGGTGTAGAGCCCGAGCTGAAGAGATGGACTGGTTTCTTGCAAATCTTGAAATCAAATCAAATCAAATCACTTACCACAAAATATCAAATCTTGCTCTTTGATTAGTGAATTTTCAGACTGCCAACATTTCCGAGCACCTAAGCAAAGAATAAGCTAATTCATTTGACATTTGAAAACCACGTAATCTGCACATGTTGCTGATTTAGCCAACTTGCCTAAACAAGCTTTTGCACGGTCAGCGCCCACGTTTAACCACCGCGGAAGTAGGCTGAGTCTGTTTAAAGGCAGTGTCCAGGCTAAACCTAACCCCCTACGATTAGTGTCGATTCTGAATGTAGGCCCCAGAAAAGGGGCATCTGCGTTGGTCCAGTCTTCTAACGTTGTCTCTGAATGGAGATAAGGGGCCTGAAAGTTCTGATATCAGACTCCGCCCACCAGGAACTGCTCACTACCTTGTCAATACGTGACTCCCGACACGTATTGACAAGGTAGTGAGCAGAAGCTGCACACTGCACACTGCAATGCAACTGCACCCATGCAGGTGCAGCTCCTTCCCGCTGGCCTGAAGACGGGGACGAGCAATTAAAAACTCGTCCGCGCCCTCAAGACTGGGTCCCCAAGAATCGGGTTTCTTGTGAATTTTAGAGAGTTTGAAGTTCGGAACTGTAATCAGGGCCAAGGAAAGGCCCCAGAATGACGAAAACATGGGGGGCCAAATTTTGGGTGGACGCTGCCTTTAAGATTACGGCTTGAACGGCAGCACTTGTCCAAAAGGGAGACTGATACATACCGCCCCTGATGTGGAATTTATTTCAAAACCACCGACCTACTATTTGATTAGAGTTCGCTGATAGTTCCTCAAAAAATGCTCTTTGTTAGCGAAGTAGAACCAGATAGTGAGCGGGGAATGTTACTAGCTCCGGAGACTTCGCCGTTTTGGGCGCTAAGGACCACGCATTTCGACGTTCCTGAGTAGTCCGCCACTGATCTTCAAACATTCCCTTTCTTCTGATTGTTTGCGTGTCATGTTTCTTTGTTGACATATATCGTTTCTACAGTACTTCCTCTGCAGCTTTGAGCAAAAAAATCTTGTGATAGTCGAAACCTGTACAACAATTTTGGCGCATGGATACTACTACCCATATTATGTCTGCATACAGCATCAATGATTTGAACATAATCCTTGTTACCGATAAAGCGCCTGTAAGTCAACGTCGTTGGAGTCGCATTCTCATCAAGAAAGTGACCTATAGTGAATAAGTAGCTTTAACGCTCAAAACAATGAATTAGCATGTGCTCTTGGGATTAGAAGCATGTACACATGCTTTGGAATCAATCCATGGCAGTCACACGGGGAAGTCACGAACTATAAAAGGGAAGGGCTGTTTTCCCTGATAATGTCATCGCGTCAGCCTCGTTCTTCCCTGTGCCTCGAAAGGCTTGTACTGAAGGTAACTGCCATATCAAAGAAGCAGGACACGCAGTCAACTAGAAGAAATGGAGTGTCAGAAAATTTTCTTATTTGTGCTCCATGGTCTATCAGGTGGCGCACGACTGGAATGAGACTCGCTTCAGAGTAAGGTTTTGCAGCTGAGAACAACGTATTTGGGTTGGGCGTTTCAAGCTTAGTCGGAGAGTAGGACGCCCGCTCTGACCATGATACTACTCATATATTAATCAGGTGAACAGATTGAAACTTACAGCGAAGAAGACGTAAAGCTTAAGCATTTTGTTGTCAGCCATCATAATGTAGGGCTTTTATATCATTGAAGACATCTTTCTCCTCTTACAATTCAGGCCAGCTAAGTGCACACAAGTTTTAACGTCATTGATTTTTTTTTCTTTCCGCATTTGTTGTTCTCATAAAAACTTTGATATTTGCCAATCTTCGTTAATTCCATTCCTGAACTACGGTAGTTGTATAATCGCTTAGATTAATATAGTACCTATTTCGGCTGCCTCTCTTCAACGAACATGCTTTCCAATCATATCCAATCGGCATTGTTCGGTTGTGCTTGGTTCTTGGCATAATAATCGCTTGTTGACGTGGTTTTCGAGCTACACCTACACCAAGATTGGTGACGATACTTTATTGTGACATCGACCTTTCGGCGTTCAACGCCTTCTTCGGAGCCTGGAAAATCGAAGTCATAAGTGACCATGCGGTCAGACAAGAACAAAGACGAAACAAAATCGAAAAGAAGATTAGTCCAAAGAGCAGAATCAGAGCCGAAAACACTTTTTACTAACCTTAGACGTAGCACATGCGGTAGTTGAAAAACCGTATGTAAACAAAAACCGTATTGTACGCGACCGTATCTGGTCGTATCTGTTTGACCTCAGGCTGTGTAGTATGCCCATATTGCAGAGAGGGTGACTTGACAGGAGTGATTTATCCGACCACATGTTTATCATGTGGCGACACCCACGTTGGAGTCGGCCGTCGTCTTCGTGTTTGTATCATAGGACATCTAGATGGGCTAAATATTAGGGTGAACGGTAAAAAATGGGACACTTACGAAATAACTGGAGGTTTCTCAAGCATGAGAAGCGCTTAGACTTTTCAATTTTGAATGTTAGAATATGTTATTATCTTTCAGATAATACCTATATAAGGTCATTTACATGATTAATAATTTTTGTACTTGCTCAAATGCAAAGTTGCTCACTTCGATAAACTATGAAGTTTGAGCAGTATCTGCGCAACGAAACATCTGAGACCATCCAAAGTACCACTGCTGGAGTGGGTGGTGGGACAGTCACTAAACTCACGACGGCTTGGTGGTCTCGACTTTCAAAGCCAGGAGATATGGCCATTAGCAGCTTTGAGGACAAAGACACGCGCTATTCAATTCTCTGCAGGCGAACCATGTTTTCTAGGTACCATCTGATAGAGCTTTTTGCGCTCTATTCATCCATATGCAGCTTATGTCAGATGTTATCTATCTTTGGAAAATATAGGGCAAAACATGATTTTTTGTTTTATTATTGCGCCAAAAATAGCTATTTTTCGGGTTTTTTCGCCTTTTTTCTAAAATTGAAAAGAAATCTTATGCATTTAACATATCGTTTGAAAGAGTATAAAAAGCTCTTTTGAATGGTTTCTCATATGCTTTACGACTTTACGGTAAAGCAGCGCAGGATTGAGAACTGTTCCAAAAACCCTGTCTGAGTTCTTCACGGCGCCACGTGTACGGTTATGAGGGAGGAGCGGTAACGCGTTGCCAGAATAATAGGCGAAGGTCGTTTATGTAAGCGACGTTTGAGTTGTAGTCTGCTTGTTGTTGGTGAGAACAAAAAACCTCAATGTAAAAAAAAATCAAGCTGTCCCATTTTTTACCGTTCACCCTAATAAGTCTAAGCCCTCCACACCTCTGGGGCAACATCGCAGAACACGCTACGAAATGCTGAAGTTCAAATTGGAAAAAAAATCTTGTCGTTTGAACCCGAAATCCTAGCACGCCAAACGTTGGAAGCGTTTTGGATAGCTGCTAAAATTCCAAAAATGAACAGAAAAGACGAGTGCACTGCGATCGCCACCAAACTTAGGTCAGGTCACTTTGGCGAAGAAAAATGAGATTGAGGCACGGTTTGCCATAAGGTGGTCTGCTTTTCAACTACCGCTTGTCTACGTCTAAGGTTAAAAAGCTTTTTGGCTTTGATCTATCCTTTGGACTAATCTTCTTTTCGATTTTATTCCGTCTTTGTTGACGTCTGACCGCATAGACACTAATGAGTTCGACTTTCCAGGCTCCGAAGAAGACGTTAAACGCCAAAACGTCAACGTCAGCCATAAAATATCGTTACCAATCTTGATGTAGCTCGAAACCACGTCTCCATGTCCAATCAATTCAGACTCCACGTTTCCCACGCTCGCAGCGGTAGAGTGATCAGAGAGCATGTTCGCGAAAGAGTTGCAGAGACAGGCGAAGCGGAGATGCTGGTGCTTGAACGCCTATAATCGGCCGTGGAAATGGGGGGGGGGGGGGGAATTGAGTTGCGCCTCAGTGCAAATCGATTGGAGCACATTATTTACTCGATTTGCGCATGTAGCAAGCAAGGTGAATATAATGACACCGATAGGCATCGTCTTCGCTTTTACTTCAGATAGGATTTGTAGTACCATCTCAGTTACTGACTATAGTCAAGTAACACGTTTACAGCTTGCCGAGCTCGAGCGAATCATAACACTGCACTTTTTGAGTTTGTGGTGCTGTTAACGTTGAGAAGTTCAGGTGAAGCTAGCTACTTTTCTATACAACTTTTAGAGGTAAAAATACAGCCTAATGCAAAAGGCGTGAGAGCGCGGAGAAGAGCCAGCGCTTGTATGTGGTCAAAAAACGCTGCAATTCGTGAACCAAGACTGGTTCATGGCTTGAACATCCAGTCCTAGTTTCAACAACAGTCCGACAGTTAATTCAAGAAATCAGAATGGAACTTGCGATGCTGTAAAATTATGATTCTGGTGAATGTTTCACTTGCAAATTATCTATATGTTGTGACTTTATAAATGTCCGCCGTATTTGGAAAGTTTTTGAGCAATACGCTCATCGAGTACAGAATGACATCCTTGAATACAGCGAGCACCTAGTACAGATTTGACATAGACATCTAAGAACCCGACCCGGTCCCTATGTTGTATCTTTAAACATTTTTTCAGGAGTTATATATGTAGGGGCATTTCCAACTTTTCTAGTAGCCAGTTAGTCGTTTTAAGATAAGATAGCTAATGAGCAAAGATTCTCTTAAACTTTTCCACAACATTATAGGTAGGACTCCCAGGTCAAAAAAAAAGTTCGTCTCTTGCGTTGCAAATTGGACCCCGTCATCGTCATACAATAGTCATGACGTTTGCAGCTGATGCGTGCCTACATTCCAAGTGTCTCCCTTAGTGATAACTGCATGCCTTAGCAACAGTGACACTGGCCCGTAACACCTACAGTAGCACTGTGCTGCAGCGTGCTCAATTTTTTTGCTTTGTGCTAACACCGCCTTTGAAGATTTTACTTCGAATCTCAAACAAAAGATAGAAAAAACATGTTGTTATACCAGTCCTATATTATGAAATTTTGAAGCCATTGACCGAGCAATGGTACGTCAGATGTATAGTACAAAAAACTATTTGAAAACATGATGTAAGCTTCGCAACAGCGACGATTCTACGACGCTACAGTACAAATGTGCTTTTTGAGGAGGACGTGATCCATACCCAACCTTATGCAATTTAAAGCGACGCCATATGAAGCTACGACAGACGCAGCAATTCTGCTTCTATGATTTCTGATTTCTGCGATTCAACAGTCTTGTTCACACTGACGAGTGAACAAGACTGTTGAATCGCATAACAGTCATCAACACAGTCTTTCGAAGCTTTTGACCTCACAAGTTGATCAAAACGAGCTAAGCGCTACTGAGTGCACATTCTGAAGTGATTAGTCAGTCATTAATCTCTTTGTGCTGTATTGTTTCGCACAAACAAGAGACAATGAGAAAAATTACTAAGAAAGCCTGTTATGTTCAGATACGCTGATTGCGCGAGGGATAATATACTCCAATCGGTTAGCGCTGGGGCGCAACTCAGTTCCCCCCCCCCCCTCCCCCCCCAGTCCAAGGCCGATTATGGGCGTTCCTGGTGCCGACGCTGCAGTAGATAAGCCCTGTACAAGAACATCCCTGATTAACTCTGAAACTTTTTGAATGCATACTGCCGCAAATAGTCTGATGAGTTGAGTAAATGACAGATGTGCGTTTGTGCTGACAGGGAGTAAACCAAAGTTCGAAATTCTGTCTACGATCCACTAACCGCTAGGATTTCTTCAAACTTTAGGCCTGAGCCCTACATCCCATACCTCCCCCGATTCCGTCTAATAGCAGTGCTCCAAGTAATTTTATAACTTTTTTCATAACTTTTTTATAACTTTCTGTAACTTAAATCTGTTTTCCGTAAGCAGATAAATTATCCTCGTGACGCGATGCATTGGCAGATCTTTGCAGAATAACTATGACGCAATCATATTGTCAGACCGTATTTGACTGCTAGCACAAATAAACGGCAAAGCTTGCGACACGCAATCACACTTTCCACTTTCCACTTCTCCCTATCCAGTCTCCCATCTCTTCATCCTATGCAGCAAAAACCATTTCTATGTACATGAAAAGCCTAAACAAGGGTTGAAGAACGGCTTAAGAGATGTGCGCAAGCGCACGGTTTTTTTGATATTGCAGATATCTTTATTATATCTGACACTCAGTTGCACATGCGCAACGAGAACTTCCTGCACACAGCATACAAGCACTTGAGAGCAAGAGCAAAAGTATCGGAGTTTTACGAAAAGGTTGCTTAATCATGTATCGTCCCCACCACAGTTGTACCCATAGTTTGCGTTTTCACCTGCTGCACGCGTAGCGATTATTATGGCGAAAGCACCGTCTACCCAAATTCTCAACTTCCATGTTTTCATCGCTTCCAGCCTTCCTGAAGGCCCTGCTTTATAGAGTCGGGAATCCGCGAAACTCCCTGTTTCGAGAAGAGCGCAATGAAGTCGCGGGGCTGCGGCGCTGATATATGCGCAACTTGGGAATTTGCCTAGTGTGGAGTCTCACGCTAGTATGCCATCATAACCTCGTCAACCCTCACTTTGGGTAGACGGTGGATAACAACAAACGGGAGCATGTTGGCGCCGAGGCTGATAGCTAAAATGTTTTGCCAACTTGTTGTTTCATGTGAAAAACATGTTGTTGCACATGTTAGCCGTACGTGCTGC